ACAAAGACATCTTACATGTCAAAAAAAAAATCAAGGAAAATTTGATGTCATAATTTTCATGTCATGACCTCTTTAACGAAGAGCTAATTCGTGAGCTTCCATATTTGTCAAAGACCAACACAAGATAGAATAGATATAGTGACGGTGATTTCTATATTTTGCCTAATGCCTTATAGCCATGAATACATTAACTATATAGCATGACCTTATTTCTTAAAGTATAATTTAGAGATTTAGGGTTGCCTCACTGCACCAATTTGTAAAAGTATAAATAAATGTTCCTATAAATCACATGACCCTTCCTTGCAAAACGGATGTAGCCATAAGTATAATGCAGCTCCTGATAGTTGATTGGATCAGCTGAAGAAAGAAGCACTGTTTAGCTCACATTGTAAGTAGATCCATTTTAGTGTATTATGATCTTAAGTTGTCACAATGAAGATATCCAGAATGTGAATGTAAGGATTAGTTGAATGACATACAATTGAATAGACAAGAAGTAATCTATGCATATCAGTTAATGTTTACATTGTATACCAACATTTTTTATTGCTCTACAGTCAGTTTTGTTGTTAAATTTGGAAATGAGGATTTGTGTTATCTCATGCACAGGTGTGTCATGATTCTGCCCTCGTGTCCTTGATTTTCTCTAGTCTTGAGGCAGGATCATGACAGAATCCTGATTTGTGTACAAGCATGGCCTGTTGTTTGGGTCATGTGCTTGTGTTCTCTCGTTATGTAACCCCGCCCCCTTGTTATCCTCGTTTTGTCATTATTACCTTGTCTGTGTCACCTGTTCCCCTCATTAGTTTCTCAATACTTAATCCCATGGTGTTTGCTGTCCTGTGTCGGTTCATTGTGTATCTTATCTTGTCATACTTTGTGTGAAACAAGCCGTGAGTAACCGGTTGAAAGTCTTGTCTTGAAAGAAGCGTTTTATCCTATTATCAAGCAGCAACGCCATCTAGAGGCCACATGAGAAACTGTTGAATATCGTAACAGGTGAAAATGATATACATTTCTAATCTCTGCTTTAATGTGGATGTGCTGTTCATTCTCTGACATTTTTGGGCCTTGTATTTTTGCTTCATGCTGATTGTACAGGTGTTTATGGATAATATTCCTGAGAAAATATTAAATGCTTTCTCTTTATATAAGTAAAGTTTCCCATATATAAAAATTTTATTTAACCAGTGGGCTACTTTGTTTTTGGTTCGTTTTTCATGTATATAAATGGGTTTATTTAACTGTATAGCAACCCTGTTGGAAGGAATCAATATTACAGATTTTTTTATTTAATCAATATTTAAATTTTTACAATCATGAAAGCATGATCAAATCATGAAATCGTTCACAGCTTTAGCACGCATAGTTTGTACATTCAATTGTAATGTTTTTGATTTTACCTTTATTTACCAAATAAGCTTTATTAATATTGTGATGCATTGTATATATGTTTATATCCATATTAGTAGTTGTATTTTGTATTCACAGAACAACAAATCTACTTTATGCACATTTAATATGTGAGTGAGACAACATTGTTCTGACTGGATAAACGGTAGCCTTTATCCCAGACCAGCAATTACAGTGAAGACTTTTTAACTATGTGTGTGTATTTGTTTTTTTAATTAACATTTTACTTGTGTTTTATTCTTGCTCTTAGACACTGTTTTTTGTAACTTTAATATAGTGGAAATCATTTTTGAATGCCATTTTACAACATAGGCTATGCTTTGATGGAGTGATTCTCTTTTTATTCTACACCAGATAAAAGTTATTGCTAATACACAAACACACTGTTAAAATTTCAGAACATCTAAAACTGAAATGAAATGTCATGTCAACCTTCTTTATTAGTCTTTATTATCTGTTCAGAGTGTTCAGAGGGAAAGGTATTCAGTTTTTCTAAATGCCATCAAACAGCATATTTCCTCTAAATCACGTGACCATGAGGGTGTTTACTCTAAATACACCTGTAGATCTATTTACCTGCAAGAGTTTAAAATCATCTGGAGCAGGAAGGATCCTAAAACAGTAAGCAGATTAAATTAACTCATTACTCATTAAATTAACTTATTACCCGATTACTGTAAAAGCCCAGTAACTAAAGACTACTCATTATCAGGGAACAGGCTATGCCATTTCACCTTTTCATGTAGCCTTTGTTTTATCTTGATTTCAGTTAGCATCAACAGACATTTTAATCCATTTTCTCAGAACTCATGCATTGTCATTGCATGTGGATTCATGTTTCATTTATGCATCTGTTTGTTCTCCGTGATTCTTGACTTCCTCATATTTTGACACATCCTCATATCTCACGAGCAATACGTACGACCGAGTAAAATGTGACTCATTCGTATTCAATTCAATTCGTACAATCAGAGCAACTGCGCACGACTGCAGAATCCGACAGGTGCGACTTGCGCTCGCGAGAGTTTTTTGACATACGTTGGCATGACATCAGAGCAAGGCGGACCGCTCTCGGACACCTTTCTAACCGGCATGCATCTTGCGCTGATCACCGGTGATCGGTTCTGCGCAGATTTTGCTCATCTCAGACAAGCCTATTGATTGGTTTAAATGGACGTGCGTCTGGCGTCAGCGTGTTGTTAATTCGGCGGGTAACTTTGATAACATGAATGAACAGCAAGGGGGTAATCCATCGACCGGAAGTTGAAGCCTCGCGGCCATCTTGTAGCAGAACTTCACTTGCGTTAGCATTCCCATTGACTCCCATTCATTTTGGCGTCACTTTAACAGCGAATAACTTTAAATCTGAGGCGTTTGAAGACCCAATTTGTCCTTTATTTATTTCTAAAGAAACACGACAATGTGTAAAATGCTCCATTACCTTGTAGGTTATGTTATGGCCCCGTAGAAGCAGTTTTAGTGAAAGTAGGCTAACGATTGCGTCATACCCACGCGACTCTCTGTCGCACAGTAGAGAGATTACCGTATGGACATGAGAAGAAGCTCGCGCGCAATCGAGGAAACGTGGAGGCAAAATGACAAAATAATTAATCAGAATACCTAGCAGAATTGTCTCCTTCTCCTAACTCATGGACAGCTCCTACTCACTCTCCGCCTCTGCATGTTTCGGAAGGGAATGATTCAGATTTCTCATGCAATAGCCTCTAGAAGACAGACGGGTCGCTCACGTCACATCTACGTCGTCAAGCTCAGTTTGAGTCTGCGCGTCAGGGACGGAAGTGCTAAAAAATCGGCAAAAATGGGCTTCAATCGTCTCAATGGAGTTCAGTGATGCGCGGGTCAATGTATAAACAACCCGCAACCGACCGACGTTTTCAGCTACCCGCCCGCAACTCGGACCGCAAAAAAAGTAAAAAAAAAAAAAAAAAACATTGTACCCGACCCGCTTCCTGACCGCATTTTTTTAGTAAAGTAGTAAATGCTCATCGGAGCGTTATTGGGCCATATAGACGTGTAACAACACAGCATCGCAAGAAGACGTAGGCCTACACATAACAAAGGCAAAGCCAGCACTTTGGTCATCATCTTTCATTATTTCCGCAAATGTCTCCCACACTTTTACTCTTTCTATTTGTGTATTTGCGGAGCTTCCACTCCCCAGTCTTCACCTTTTCTCTTGCCGCCTCCATCTCTCTGCAGACTGTAGTGATCATCGTAGACACGGCCGGTTCGTGAACGAATCGTTCTTTTGAACCGGTTCTTTTTAGTGAACCGGTCGAACCAGTACACTCGAACTGAATCGTTCGAAACAGTTCGCGTCTTGCGTCAGTGCTGATCCACAAGTTACTAAAGTTACTCACTTTCAGACATGCCTGACAGTCGCCTCCGAATCGAAATAAATCAATATCCTGAATTATATTTTACTCCAGTAACTCCAACAGTTCACTGAACCGAGACAAGTTGGTGCCACTGTTGAGAGAAGTGATGAGCACGAGCAGCTGATGCGTCTACCGAACGCACAGGGACAGCGGTTCTCGAATCACTAGTATAGAACCGAGAACTGTTTAGACTGAGCTTGTGTGTTATCTTCGTGCCAGTTATTCAGCCAATAATGTGTAGGGCTGTATATTTCATCAAAAACTGTGTCTAGTACTATATACAAATGTTTAATTGGCATCTTTTTTCAAACGACCCGACCGACCGCGACCCGAATATCATTAAAAACATTTTTGGATGACCCGTAACTGCGGGTAACCGCGGGTGACCGCAGGCACCCGCTCATTTCGGATCAACCCGCGCATCACTGATGGAGTTTCAATGAGATCGCTCTGTCCATTTCTTATACTGTCTATGAAGAACAGACGCATATCGTTGCAACTATATTGTTATTTTTATGGCATACTAATTACCTGCAGCACCAACTATACACAAGGCTAGTTCAAATTCGCCAAATTAACGTCCTCATCGTGCGAACATTTTGTCGAGGTGACTTATTATGTCATCAGACCAGAAACCTCGTCTCCTCCTCTCCCCATGTGTTACCACGGATCATTTCTGTTTTTCGGCAATGTGGGAACCACCGGAACTTCCTGTAGAAGGTCTGAAAGTCCGGATCATACAGAAATGCTTTCACACTAGAAACGAAACAAACCTTTGTTCAGTTTGATCCAGACCGAAACTACCTCTTTCTGTCGGACCAAATTTCATCTGTCTGGGCCGGGGGAGGTTTCATACCTGAAATTTTGATTCAGATCAAACTGAAAAGTCTGAAATTCCGTACCAAACAAGATAGGTGTGAAAGGGCCCTAAAAGGCATGACGGTTAGGTTTATGGGCGGAGTCAGGGGTTGGTCATTCGTACGAATTTATACGAATTATCCATCTCGTTAAATTTGTATGAATTGCTGTGAGATCGACGATCGTGTTGCATATTTCATTGTGTGTATCAGTCCTTTAGTGGAAACACAAAGGATGACTTTTTCTTAGTTAACAGTTTGTTAGGTCTTCTTCAGCAGACATTGTGTCTTTTGTGGAAAATATAGCTCAATATAACATTGCACCCATGTGGAACCAGTCAATACAGATACTCAACTGTCTTCACAAGGGTAAGACAAGACTTATTTTACATTATCGGTTGGTTTGTTTATGCTATTGGACGATTAGAGAAGCCATTTTTTGCCTTATAAATATATTTTAAATGCATCCTTTGTTTAAAAAACGATAATAAAATAGACTGAATTCAGATCGATTTACTTCTCGGAAAAGTTTAATACCTACAATTGAGGCATGGGGCTTTTTTTCATACTGGTATTTTTTCAAAATACCAGATGGCACTAAAACTCATATTTAATAACCAACTTGAATTGATAGCTGAATATTAGCTTTAAAAAATATCTGTCAATACCTCTATCAGTAATCTAATTGGTTGATTTCTCCTTCCATGTGTTTTGTCCAGCATGGATCCAGTGGGAGTGAACTCAATAGAGACTGCAGCTCTGGGGAGACCCTTCCAGCTGGGGATGCTGTATGACCTCAGGAGAGATGCTCTCGTACCAGGTGATACACCACTGTTCAACACTATCTGTCCCAAATAAATGATTAGAGTAAAATAATATATATTATTTGTGAGGTTGTGGTTAAGAAGTTACAATACCAAATCATTTAGCAATATTAATGCAATAAAGTCCTAATTTAATCTTACAGGCTAAGTGCCCATAGCAAATATATTACTATTTTAAAGGATTAGTTCACCTCAAAATGAAAATTACCTAACAATTTACTCACCCCAATGCCATCTAAGATATCCATGTCTTTCTTTCCTCAGTGGAAGAGAAAATAAGGCATTTCTGGATTTTTCTGTGAATAATGGCAACCACTATAGCAAACCATTTTAACTTTTATTCATTTCCAGGATATGAATTCTTGATATCAAATATTAAATTTTCACTAGTTAAAATGATAATTATTGATATCAGGAATAATATTTCTACTAGTAACAATGGCAATTTTTGATATCAGTAATTATATTTTCACTAGTAGCATTAGTAGTTCTTGATATCAACATTTATATTTGCATTTAACTATAATTATTGATTTCTGGAATTGTATTTTGACTAGTGACTGACTTTTCAACGTGATGACATAGTTGTGGTGTATTGCGGATCAGCTCAATCCGACAATTGTAGTTAAAAAGTGTATATATATATATATATATATATATATATATATATTATTTTTTTTTTTTAAATGACCTATCATTTCGCTAGATAAGACCCTCTTCCTCAGCTGCGATCATGCACAGTCCATTGAAGCACTTTAAAGACCTTTGAAACTGCATTGATTTGGACTTAAATTCCACGTATTTATTATTTATTGATAAAATCTAGTCATTTAAATGTAAATAAAAAAACAAAAATAATTATTTTACATTAAAAAAATATTATAAAAATGAAATGAAATTAGCTTTCTGCACAAAAAAAGGAATACTTTTAGGGCTTCGGGTCATTTTGACCTGCGAGGAAAGGATTTGTTACAGTATGCAATGGTTTTGGTAGCTCTGTATCATAATGGGTGGCATTATTAATGTGATAGTCCACTGTTTATATTTAGATATTAAACTGCTCAGAGTCATTTATGTAAATACAGTAAATATAAAATGAAATGTAAGAGAATGGTCGATGGGGACAAGAAACACAAAAATAATGTGGTGTTGTTCGGGAGAACATGCAAGTTGTGTTTTGCAAAAGGGCTGATTAAATTACTGTTTAATGAATTAAGTATATTTAGACATAAATATTTTTTTCTCCATTACAGGAATCAGACTTTGGAGTAAAGAGCAGCTGAAGCAGAAACCCCAAATCAATACAGTTTTCACAGTCACCGCTTCAGACTCCATTGAGGAAAAGTCTAGATTGCTGAATATTGGTGGATGTCTGAAACTGAGTGTTTTAGGAGGACTCATCAGTGTAAGTGGAGCTGCTAATTTTCTCAAGGACACAAAAAGATCATTCAGTCAACAGAGACTGACATTACACTATCATTCCACCAGTAAGTTTGAAGAACTGATCATAAACCACTTTGCTTCTGGAGACATGGCTCACTATGAAGATGACGTCGCCACACATGTAGTGACCGCAGTGCTGTACGGAGCAGACGCATGCTTTGTGTTTGATAGAGAAGTTTCATCAGATGAGGACAAAAGCGTGATAGCAGGAGAAGTAAAAGCAGCATTAGAGCAGCTAAAAGGCATTTCAGCCGGTGTTAACATTAATCTGAATCACAATCTGAAGACCACTGCTCAAAAATTCAAGTGTACATTTTATGGAGACTTCCAGCTACCTTGTAACCCGACCACTTTTGAAGATGCTATGAAGGTTTTTGAAGATCTTCCGAAACTGCTGGGAGAAAACAAAGAGCTTGCGGTTCCTCTGAGAGTTTGGCTTTATCCTTTGGACAAACTTTTCTCAAGAGTTGTAAAGTTTCAGCATGAAATCAGCACAGGTTTAAGCTCAGATCTTGAATCTGTAATTGAGAGTTTGAGTACGACTGAGATGAAATGCAGTGATCTTCTGACGGACACGCCAGCTTCGACATTTACTGCATTTCATGACAAAATCAATGACATGAAGAAAAACTGCTACCAGTACAGATTGAGTCTCATGAAGAAACTCGGCTCTCTCTTACCGAAGATCCGTGGAAAATTCACAGAGGACACAGCATTGATCGATCTTCTACGAGATCATGAGCAATCTCCATTTGAAAGAAGCGCTCTTGAACAATGGCTGAAGGAGAAAGAGGAAGAATCTGACATTATTAAAGCTTTGCTCACACAACTGAACGACTCTGGAGCAACGGTAGAAAACAACCTCAATAAATATCTAATGAATCTGGATGTTCAACATTTGGTCAGCTACACTTTCACATCATTGAGCTGGACAGATGAGCTGCTTTCTGAACAGAAGACCTTCCTGAGTTCTTCAACAAAAGAGAGAAAACCCGAACACAAGACTTGGCTCACGCTGGACATCCAGAAGACTATGAGGAACAACCTGAGAGTATTTAAACACCTGATTGATTTAAACAACAGCAAATCAGTCAAATTCATTATTTCATCAAAAGAAATGGAAAATAATCCAGGTTCCTGCATTCTCCTGTATGAAAATGAATCTAATGAATCTGTTTGCTTCACTCCTCCATCAAAACCAGACTGTCCAATCATTGAAGATATCAGATATAGACAAGTGGATCTGAAAGTGTCTCCACCGGGTCCTGATACAGAGGAACTCAAATTACTGTATAAAATGAAGGAAGAGAAAGACTGGACATCTCAAACTGTGTCAAAGACCCAGAATACAGTTACTCTGACTGATCTCAGACCAGATACTGAGTACAATATTAAATGTGCAGCGGTGGGAAAACTCAACTACACCGTAGAGAGTGATGTGACGCGTCTCACAGTCATAAACCAGAATCTCATCAAGGCCAAAGAGTCTGCTATCGACAATCTAAGGTGGACTGAAGACAAGTGCAATTTACATTTGGAAAACATCAAGGAAACCACTTTTAGTTCACTTCATAAGAAAATACAAGATATGCAGCAAAACTGCCAAAAGTATCGGGAAGATTTCAGTGACCGGATTAAATTTGTGATCCAGTCGGTTAAAGCGTGTGAGAAAGAGTCTTGTGCTCTGAAGGATCTTCTTCAAGCTCATGATGAGTCTCCATTCAGTGAAAAGAGTCTGAGAGAGTGGATCACAGTGAAAGATAATGAAATTAACACCGTTAATGAGTTTCTTCGACAGTTGATGGATTTAGGAGTCGAAGTGAACACAAGCTTGGACTCGTATTTGTCTGATATTCAGGTGGAGAATGTGTTTTGTTACACTTTCAGTTCTCTTGATCAGCCGGATGAGTTTCTTAATGAACAAGAAAATTACATGAATAATGAAATGATGAGAAATCCACAGAAGAAACCTGACGTGGCGTCTCAATCGTGGCTCACTGGAAGCATCCGGGAGAAAATGAGAGAACATTTGAACTTATTTAAGGAGCTGATGAAGTCATATAGCAGTCAAAGCAGTAAATTTATGGTTTCCATAAAAATGCATGACAGGCATCCAGGTTCCTGCATTCTCCTGTATGAAAATGAATATAATGAATCTGTTTGCTTCACTTCTCCACCAAAACCAGACTGTCCAATCATTAAAGATATCAGATATAGACAAGTGGATCTGAAAATGCCTCCACCGGGTCCTGATACAGAGGATCTCAAATTACTGTATAAAATGAAGGAAGAGAAAGACTGGACATCTCAAACTGTGTCAAAGACCCAGAATACAGTTACTCTGACTGATCTCAGACCAGATACTGAGTACAATATTAAATGTGCAGCGGTGGGGAAACTGAACTACACCACTGAATCTGATGTCATCACAGTTATCACAAAGGTATGATTTATGAAATATCATAAAACACTTTTATTCTAATCTCGAGGCCTTTTCACATGACTTGTACCCTCCAACACAGTCACTGATCTGATGTTCATGAGAAGCATTACTGATAGAATCTTAATTTTAGGTTTCTATTGTAGGTAACCAGATAAACTAGACTCACAGAAGACGTTTTTTGAAGTATACAAAACAGAAATCATTACAATTCATGTCATTTAGCATATGCAGAGAAATGGCAAATAATAAATGTACCTTGGTTGAGTTATTGTGAAAGGGCCTTTATTAGGCCTATTTAAGGGATGTTGGCCTAATTAAGGAACATTGCATGACCATTATTATTATTGTGTTTTTATGCTTTACATACAGAGCAAAAATGATCTCATCAAGAAAAGCATCTTAATTGAAGATGGAAATCGTGCTCGATATCGACTGCAAACACAGACACACAATACTGATCAATCTGAACAATACAGAAAAATGACCTTTGGAGAGAGAGACAAAGACAAACCCCATAAAACCATTCTGATGGTGGGAGAAACAGGAACTGGAAAAACAAAACTGGTCAACGTGATGATCAACTACATGTTAGATGTTCAGAGAGAAGACAAGGTTTGGTTTGAGATCACAGATGATCAGAGTCACCGAACATCAGTTCACAGTCAGACCTCCATCATCACTGTTTATGAGTTTTATCTACAAGAGAGTAAAACTGATCTAACGATCATCGACACACCAGGACATGGAGACACTCGTGGAGTTGAGAAAGATAAAGAGATCGCTGAGAGTTTGCTTAGTTTAATTAAATCTGCAGGAGTCAATGAATTAGATGCAGTGTGTCTGGCGATTAAAGAATCACAGAATCGACTCTCTGACAGACAAACATACATATTTGACGCTGTTCAGTCTTTATTTGGAAGAGATACTGATGAAAACATAGTTTTGCTAATCACATACTCTCATGGATCTGTCCCTAAATCTGCTCTGACGGCTGTTAAAGAGGCTAAAATCAAGTGTGCCGTGAATGAACAGAATCAGCCGCTGTATTTCCTGTTTGACAACTGTCAAGGAGAGACGTTTCATGAAGAATATCAGATGATCCAAAAGCAATCATGGGATCTCAGTTTTAAAGGAATGACGCAATTGTTCAAGTTTCTTGAGAGTGTAAAACCAAAATCCCTGCAGATGACTCGAGATGTGTTGCAGAAACGGAAACAGTTGGAGGCAAATATCTCTAATCTACGCTCACGAGTTCAACTGACAGAACTAAAGCAGAATGAGCTGAAACAAACCCAAGAAGCTCTGGAGAAGAACAAGGAACATGTCAAAAACAACAAGGACTTTGAGTATGAAGTCGAAGTGAAATATAAAGTGAAGGTTGATATTGATCGCTCTAAAGCCAGTGTGGCAGTGTGTTGCAGTGTATGTGAGGAGAACTGTGTTTATTCAGATAATGGGTGGATCAGAAGTCTCTCATGGTTCAGTATGATGAAAGATGATCACTGTACAGTGTGCAGAAATAAATGCCACTCCAGCAAACATGTCAGAGAAGCAAAAATATATGAAACAAAGACAAAGAAGGAGAAGAGGACAAATGCAGATTTGAAGAAGAAATATAATGACAAAATCAGTGACTGTGTATTTATGGTCCAGAAGCTGGAAGAAGAACTGCAGGAATTAGAGAAACAGAAAATTAAGCTGGTGAATGAAGCTTTTCTCTGTGTGGAAACTCTGGAGAAGATCGCACTCAAAACTGATTCACTGAACACACTTCTGCACATTGATTTTCTAATAGAGAAGTTGAAGGAAATAAATGAGCATGAAAAAGCTGAAATACTGGAAAACATCAAGAGGAGAGCAGGAGAAGAAAAACACAGAGTACTGGGATACATAAAAAAAATAAATAATTATGTTTGATTGCTATAACATCTGTGGTCAGTAGTTAGCCTAAGTGTTGCATGTGAAAACCATGTCTATGCTGATTCTACCACATTATCATAAACCAACCAGCTTGTAAGGATCCTGAAAATGCCTGTATGCCTGTAAGTTGCTTAATAAACAGCCTCTGCTAAATTAGAAAATGTCAAATACAGACTAGCCCATATTGATTATTGTAATTTCTTGTGATATGAAATTTAAAGCAGCATAATCCAAAGAGTTTTGTGGAGTAAGATACTGTTGTAAATCAAGACAACATTATTGTATTGTAAAATCAGCAAATTGATAGAATGTATGTTTTGGGAAATGATGTCCATTAAAACTGTCACATAAAAACGGCTGTATAAAAACGGTTAGTTGTATTACTAAGCACTGCCACCTAGCGGACATATGAGACAATAATCATCCTTCATGAAATACAGTGAACTAATTGTGTTATGGCTTTAATAAAAAACTTTACTGGGACTATACATTTTTGGGGGCTCAGATGTATATTGCATCACTTTCTTTAAAAAGGAAACATTTTGTCTTATGAATACAAATACAGAACAGGAAGAATTGCTTTTACTTATCACATTTGTCTCATTATTGATATATTTATTTAATTGGTTTTAGTGCAGATTTTTTTTTTTTGTTTATTTGTGCTTAATTGCTAATACACACTTTCTGAAACCTTTAACACATTTCTTAAAGCTATAACTGCAAATTCAAAACCTCAAAAACCATCATAAGATCATAACTTCATACAACATTAAATATGGTTTTCAGAGAACCTGCCATAAATTTTTAGCTTATCCTGGAATCATCATAAATTAAAGAAATGAAGTTTAAAAATAATATAAATAACTTATTTTTGAATATTTTAAATAACTTCTGAATCTTTTCTTACAGTATTATTTCATCATATGTTCACTTACATCTTCAACTATACTTTGGATTTGAATGAATCTGACATCAAACGTCCAAAATTTACTCAATGTAGATCATGTTGATTAAAAAAAAAAAAGAACAAAGGTTTTAGAAAATGTTGATCATTTGTTTGTTTGTTTTATCAGTATCTTGTCTGTATGGTAAACCCAGAGAGCCTTTTCTGTAAAGGTTACAGGTTTTAAGAGTTGCCAATGAAGAAACGAGGAACCCAAATTGTTATGGATAGTTTATTAATCATATGTCCTCTTGTGCACTTATGAAACATTTTCTCAATCCAGTCCTATATACCTAGATTTTATAAAATAATAATACATCTTCTTTATGAATGCAAAGAATTTATAATTGTTTTAAATTATATTTGTTTTTAGGTTTTTATATTTTTATATTTGAGGTTAATCAGTATTTGTGCAGTATTTCATGTCAGAATAGTGTGTCTCATCTCCACTAGTGTGTGTGTGTGTGTGTGTGTCGGTCAGTTTGAGAATGTGAATCATCCCGTCCCACTTTGTCCGTCTCCTAAAATATCCCGCAGCAGCTGAAACAAAGCCTGAGAGACTGGAACAGTTCATGCTGAGGACTGAACTCAACAAAACATGCTAACAACTAAACATATAATATGAGGGCAAAACAAGACCCAGATCATCCGGTTATCTGATGGCATTCTGATGCCTCAAATCAAAACAAAGTTTATAATAGTAATAATTCTGATCATAAAATTTGGCTTCATTTAATCTTATGGATGAAGAGATTTAAAACAGACTGAGAAAAAACAAAGATATGCTGTGTTTAAATGTTGTTTTAAATAAGTAGTGTCTTTACTTCATGTGATTGTGGAAATAATAACTCTGCCTATGACTCAAAGTCTGATCATCAGTCTCATCATTAACAGCAGATCTTCCTCATGTTGTGTGTGAAGAGCTGCTGTTTGATACTCCTCATATAAGTTACTCATCCGTATCTATGAGAAAACACACGACACAAACAGAAAGTGGATGTTAATGAAGACACAGACTCATGTGAATATGAGTTTATATCAGACAGACGTCTATCAAACACTGGAGAACATGACAGCAGGAAATCCCAAGAGTCTGTCACAATAAACATTATATAAAATAATAATTTTCATCATAACAATTAAACAATAACTGCTAACTGATCACATATCTGTGTTTACCATTTAGCGAGAGCTTGTCCAGTCCACAAATAATCATCATTTACTGAAAAAAACAACATAATTGGAAAAAAAAAAAAAAAAAAAAAAAAAACACAAACACAAAACACAAATGTCAACATACTGAACCAAAATTAAGCTGAAATGTTTTACTTTTAATGAAAATAATTTGGTCTCATAAACAGCAGTGATTGTCAATCAGTTTCTTGGCAAACTTTTTTTTTTTTTGCTTTGTTTTGCTTTGTATTACATACAATACATACAGGCTACATGATACACACACACACATACATACATACATAAATACAGTACATAGACCTTCATACATAAATACATATATGAACATTAACAGTACATTAATGACATGAATTAATACAATTTTAATTTTACATAAAAAACATTAATATTTTTGTAAACAATGGCTTAACATTGTACTTGATCTTGAAATGGCTCAATGCAATTTATTAATTGTAAAAGTTGATGGGACTGTGTGAGCACTTTTAAATCCCAGACTGAGATCTCCAGCATGGTTCTGTTATTTATACGAAGCCCCGTTCAGCTCTCAGCCAATCAGCGCAGCGCATTCTGCAAGGACGCGCCTCTCACACATTCACGCCTCTGTGCGCGCGCCCTCACAAACTGTCAGATTACCGGCTATGAATCACGGGCGTAAGCCGTCTGATCCCTGAAGTTTATCAGACACCGGACAGGTCCGACCCACGGACGACCAACATGAGCGAAAGGTTCAGGGTCGTGCCGGTGGCCGCGCATGAGAGTGCGTTTGGAGACGAAACGGACGGGGACACGGTGTTTGACGCCGCCGGTGTCTGTGAGGGCGAGCGCGCGGAGCGGCGGGGGTCGGTGCCCATCCTCCAGTACAGCAGAGAACCCAACAAATACGGTGAGACGGGTTCCGTTCATACGGGCAGAAAGTGTCGCTCTGAACTCTTGTATTATAATAAACGGAGAGCCGCTATGTTGAATATAATAGGATAATCGCGCGCGTCCAGAACTCAGTCAGTAGTTTGGCACGTCACGTCACTCGTGTAACGTTACAGTGTAAACAAGAAAACTAGTCGTCGTTTTGGTATTAATGAATGAAGTAAACGAACGTTTGCAGAAAGATCGGTCTGAATGAATTTAGTCTTTCGAAGATAGCCTATTAAATATTATTTAATGTGACGGTTTGTTTTTCTCTGAGGTGGTTTAATTCTCTCAGGAACGTTAACCTGCTAACGGTTTTTTTGTTTGTTCCTGGAACGTTATGAGAACGTTAATATCGAACATTTATTTTTCAATTTATGTTATTGAACTTTAGGAAATGGTTACTAAAACGGCAACCGAACACTAACGTTATACGTCCTGTGTTGTTTTGCTAGTTTCCATTCTTTAGTTTTGCTAAGTATTCACTTATACATTAATAAGTGTTTATTGAAATGTTTTCTGACAGGAGAAAAATGACTGTGAGTGTTTAGACTTCACATGATTGAGGCGTTACGTTCAAACATGCCTTTATTTAGTTATAATTTCCAGCCTAGCAATAATTCAACACTTAGCATGAGTTGTACGTTTATTTTTATTAGTTAAAGGGCTGGTTAAACTAAAATGTTAAAACGTGGTCTTAAAATGCAGTTATAGTAATGAGTCATAATGAGTACTCTCCATCAAAACAAATAAAAAAAAAATGTAACCAGTAAGTTAAAGTAAAACTATAACAACTTGTGACAAATGTCCTCAAAATTAATACATGATTACTTTAACAACAACATTATCTACTATAAGGTTATTTTAGTGGTTTTGTTTGTAAGTTTCTATGAAATGACTAGTTTGGCATGTTTGACACTGTATTTTGCAGGTGTCATGTTTATATGTATCATGTTGCTGTTTTATTGCAAAATTAGCACAATAAGAGGGTTCGCTGGTTGAATTATGCAGTTTAATAATGCTTTATATTCCTTAAGCAAAATTTATATTTGCTGCAAAAAAAAAAAATTCTCATAATTTTTTTTACGCTTTTCTCTTTGTATTGGCCTAACCAGGTGAATGCGTTTTATGCAACACGAGTGCCTGATTTCAGGGGCTTGTCTAGACGTGTCTTGGGACACTTTTCATGCTCAGCTGTCTTCATTAATTACCATGACACATCTGTTTGTTTCCCGGGTTAGAGATCTAGCAGCCTATCTGAATCTGCTTTTGTTTTCCAGGCCTTTTATAGTCTCTCTTTGCGCTTTGAATCAGTAAATCGCTATCACATTTATTTAGTCAAGTCTATGACAATGTGGACACGAGGAAGAAGATAACCAACCACATTCATTTAATGTATTTCAGGGTTTCTCTATCTAATTTCGGTCTTTATCTTTAACGGATATGAAAGCTTACAATTGGCCCTTCATTAAATTTAGCCTGCAATTTAATCAAAGACCTCTTAAAGCCAAAGTGCCTTTGATTATCTACTGTAGCACCAGTCTCATAGTCTATAAAGAAGTCTATAGTGTAATTGTGAGAGCTGATCTCCTGCTGAAGTCCTTAAGAAGGTCCGGGTGATTTGGAGACGGCACTTATTGGAGGTGCGGTAATTGAATATGTGGCTCAACGTTTTGTTTTTAAGAGTTGGTGTTAATCATATAAAGAGCAAAGGGAAAGTTTTGTGATGAGCTTCTATCAAGTGCATTGAGATGATCCTGAGAGCATGATCAGACCTACAGATACCACATTAGTTTCATTTGTTCATTTTAAAGCGTCTCGGCTTTGAGAAGTGCAATTGGGAGTCGTCTTCCAGATGGTTGAGCTGGGGAGCGTTGGATTGGGTTACACACTCATTATGGGAGTCAAGAACATCTCTATTCATATACAGTATGTGGTGATGCTCTTATAACCTTCACTCCCAGACACAGAACAATGCTGAGCAAAGTTGCTCCCAAACATCAAGCAATTTTGTGGTCTTACGGACATAGAATATTGCTAAATAAGGCAATTTTTCCAAACCCAACCCAATGCAAAACCCTTGTTCCCAGACAGTGCAGTCTAGTGCAAAGACATGAAGCTGGGTTTTCATTTTAGAAGCGTATTGTAGTTTATTGACCAATTAAAAACCAAAATGCAACCAAATAAAAATCCCATATGTCTGGGAAATTAAAGAAATATTCCAGATTAATTACAAATTGGAATATTGTTGATTACAACAAACAATTTTACACTCTCACAGTTTGAGAAATAATGGTTACTCTTTGGACTTATGCAAAATTCTTGCACTCACAATGTACGGTAAGTCCAAACGGAGGTACAAATTGAAAGGATTTTCTTGGAGATAACTCTATTAAAATATTATACAAATAAAGCTAAGTTTTGCTATTAGTCTTGAAGAAGCTG